ATATATATGCGCCTGTTTGATGTATTGCATCATTATCTTTTTTATATGAAGTATTTAGACCAGGGTGCCCAACCAGTCATTTTTCAGAGGCCTTTTATTTTGTAATGTAACATCAAATCGTAATGAAAGTAGTCTGGCTGGATACCCGGGGTGGCTTCGTGTGCCCGATGGTTGCGAGATAATAAAAACAGAATTTTTTATGTTTTTTTTTTTTTTAAATCAGGTGTAAAGGTCAAAATGTCAGATTTCAGAGGCCTTTTACTTTGTAAGGTAACATCTAAATGAAAGTAATCCGTCTGGTGGCTTCATGTGCTCTCGACCTGGTTGCGGGATCATAAAAAGTGTTTTGTTTTTTTTTTTGGAATCAGGTGTAAAAGTCAAAATGTCAAAATTCAGAGGTATTTTATTTTGAAATGTAATAGCCTGTTAAGAAAATGTAATGTTTGGCTACACTCTGGCTTTGTGATTTTGCCTCCCGACACCACACACTTAAACACGGTTAGGGACGATTAAAGGAACGGACGAAAACCCACTTCCGTCCTTACTTAATCCATCCTTTTAAAAAGCTTCTCGTCCTCTGTCCCAAAAATGGGCATCTGTCTGGGACGGACGTACGGACCGTTCCATCTTAGGGACGGAATGCCCATCTCTGGTAAACAACAACAACAACAAAACACACATACAGTATATTACACAGGTGTGTCCCGTTGTGTCTTTTTCCAGTCTGTTTTTTTTTTTTTTAACTTCACTCCAGTATGCACTCGGTCCGTTCGTCAGCCAAGCACCACAACAGATGTAAAAATTTGCATTTACCAGACTAGTTTTCTTTCCATATCAAAACATGCAAAAATACTGTCAATGTTAATTAAAGAAGGGACAAAGTCGTCATGTCAGAGGATGTGTTTTCTTAACGTGTAACTTTTTTTTCATGGCCTTTTTAGGCTTTTATACTCTTTTGTTCCTTTTCTTTTTAATTGTTCTGCTTGATGTAGTCTCTTACTCTCTTTGGTTCACCGACACTCGTAAACGAGCTACCATTGTGTTGACTTTCTTTGTCCAAAAGGGTTCACGGCACATTAAAAACGATGACGGGATACAGCAATGCATCATACGTCAGCATAATGTGAACATCATGAAAGAGTCCTTTGTAAACGTGCTCACTGCAGCCTTACAAAAACAGGAAGTGAGCCAAGGTTACACACTGCAAGTCGACGTCCTCCTTTTATGGCTCCGCATCTCGCTCCTCGTAATTACTCCTGTCTGACTTAATGGCACACATTACACTCCCTGACAAAAAAAAAATGCCATTTCCATTTTAGCTTTGGCTTTTTTAAGGAAGCTTGCCGAGTTCAAATTTGCATATTTTTTTCTGTTTTCTTTTGCTTTCTTTGACACATACATGACAAACATGAGGTTGAAAAGATTTCTTTGGGCAAATTTGGTCTTTTCCTTTTTTCCTTGAGAACAAAAAAAGCGTCATTGTTTTGGGGGATAAAAAGTCCTTCATTGGTTGGTAAGTTTTTTCATCACAGTACATCCAAACATTTTTTTTTGTTTTGTTTTTTGCTTTTCAAAGTAATTTATTCTCTGTTGATTTGATGGGAAGGTGTAGGAAATGCTCAAATTTGTCCAATGATACTGGTCTGCAGCACATTTTAATCACAGATGGTTTTATATGTTTCCATACTTATTTTTGTGTCTGATTTCAAAAATGGTTTTCCTTCTTTTTTTTTTTTGTAGGACATCAGATTTTTGAGATTTCAGATGCAGATTTACCTCGTTTTAATTAACTCGTCACCAAGTACTCAATACTCCTCCAAAGGAACCCACCACTTGGATAGGCTTAAATTTTGTCACCAAGTTTCATGCATTTTTTCCCCACAGAAAATTAATGACATTGAGGGAAAAAAAAATCAATACTCACCTAGGTCTGGATTTTGTCCCACAATTTCACAAGGTTTGTCCTTGCCCCGCCCCTCCACAGGATGTCACGTTAATGGACTTGGTCGTGATGTGTGCAATCCTGCCAACAAACATACAAACAAACAGTGATGAAACCACAATAACAAGAACACAGCACAATAATGGCCCCATTCTTGCCAGATAGTCCCCTGAAATCCTCCACACAACAGCGCTGACATTATCAGCCAGGACAGTCGCATGTCTGACAGAATTACTTTCAGCGCAAGTGAATATTCATAATTGGCCCAGCGACGGGGTGAGGGGAGAAGGTAGCACTTGGCGTTGAAGTCCTCAGACGGTCACAGGCCTTGACTGCTGAGTGAGTGTGAAATGCCAGAGCCAGACTGCTGGCCTGGGCCCTGAGGGGGGCCAAAGAAGCCCGCCTGCCCGCCCGTGACGACGACGCAGGCAACAAAAACAATGTGACAAGGCCCCGTCCCAACCCGTCTCCTGGTCTCTGTTGCGATGTGGCTCGCCTGAAAGACACACAGCTTTTGTGTGGCTCCTCATCATGATCATCACTGACCAAAAAAAGACAAATGCAATTGTACAAGTGCTTGTAGAATACTTGTCACGTATACTTACAGTAAATAAAGTAATCCCGCCTCCATCGCGGGGATCACATTCCATCCCACCTCTGCAATAAGTCAAATCCACAATATGGAAATGCCCTCTTTAAAACTCTCTAGGAATGCTTTCATAGCATTTATGACACTTGATTTTTTTTATTTTTTTACGGTCTTATAACACACTTTTAAGATAATACATATTCAAATAAAAGATATTGTCAGTGCAAGAGCAATGGATAACAAAAAGATATTGTGCAGTGTAACACATCCCTGTATCTATTTACAGTAAACATATCCCTCGAAACATGTCAATAATCATGCCCAAATATGTACCGGTACGTTATAAAATGAACCTCCAGTTATCGCTCTCTGTAGCCGTAAAAAGCAGGATTGAAGAGGAGTTCCTCTTCAATAATATTTAACAAAAACAAGGCTGAGCATATTTTCTGCACGGCAGTGACGTCGATGATGAATTTTGCTGCCGTGACGCCTCAAACAGCTGAACAGTCTTTTCTTCTATAAAATATTAACATACTTTCAATGTCAATATAATGTATTTACAAATATTCGCCAGTGTAACATATTTACATTTGACAAACTGTGAACTCTTTGGATGCTATTTAGTAGTAGTAGTAGTAGTAGTATTTAGTAGTGTGTGTGTGCATGCATCGTGCCATGCATGTGTGTGTGTGCGTGTGTGTGAACTTGTGTGCGTGTGTGTGTATATATATGTATGTATATTACATTGTTGCTGCTACTTCTTGATTTAAATAATGTCCATCTTTTCTCTCATTTGTAACACTCTTTCGAGTAGATTTAAAGTGACACTTTGATCAGTCACAAGCTGCTTGTAACAGTCGCACTTCCATGTTCACAAGCGTCAAACATTGTTTCGATACACGATGATCTCAAACAAAAGAGACTCGATGCTGCCATCTGCTGGCCTTAATAAGCAAACCAGAGTTGGCCAAGACTTTTCTCTGTATGTTCCCATATAAAATTGGAGTTGACGGCATTTGCCCTCTTAGGCGCTCCTTGTTAGCATTCCTGTTGGTGACATTTCATGTCAATGGCACTCAGAGTTAAGCCACTTTATATTGTACCTGTAAAGTTGTAATCGTGTGAGATGATGTGAGAGTAATAAGTATTTTTGGGTGTTATTCTGCTGCCAGGCCGAAAAATCAACAACAACCCCTTGTTGACATTTAGCTGGATTGTTGTTATGTGTATGCCTCACTTAACATGTCTCCCAAGTCATACTACAATAAAAATAACAAGAGTTTGCAACAGCAACAATATTGCCTGATAAGCTAAGAAGTAGCTTAGCTTCCACTCTTCTTCTTTGAGTTTTCTGTCAGCCTTGGCACTCTGTACCACTCACAGGTCAGTATTGGTGCTACAGCAGACGTTGTTATAATGTTTTTGTTTGTGTGTGTTGTACGGTGTGGGTCCTCTTCAGTGCACTACACTTTATAAAAGCAGCAAGAACATATTTGTTGATTCTTGTTTTCATCATATATGGGGTCTCTCACTTTTTAAACATCGTTGAAAATTTTAAACATCTATGTTGACGTTTCCTTTTGTTCTCTTTTCCTAGCATGTCCGCCTGCAACTTTGCAATCGAAAAGCGACCACATTGTGATCAAAGTTGTCCGGAGGATGATAATTCCCCATCCATCGCTCTTGATGGATTTTGTCACTTTGCCGTGGCTTTAACGCCTCCTCATCCCTCCGAGGTGATTGCGCTATACGTGGGCTGATTGAACTCAAATGTTGATGTTGACATCTGCCTCCGCAGATGCCGTCGTTGCGCCGTGTATAATTACAGCTGCTGCTATGGAGGAGGCAGAGCGGGGCGGGCGTGGTGATGATGGTGCTAAAATGAGCGGCCCCGGGTGGTGAGTGCAATATTCCACATTCGCACCCTGCTACGCAATAGTGTCCACTTAAATGTGCAGACCAAATTTCTATCCAATCTGGCTCAGACACGAAGTGAAGGTGGTTTTCCCTCCACTAGGTGGCAGGGCTACAACTGCTGCTTTCGCAATGAGACTGCACCCCCCCCCCCCCCCCCCCCCCACCCCACCACCCCCACACACACCAATATACAACACAAAAACTGTTCCCATGTGCTTTAATATGCCTGTGGCAGGATTCCATAAAAAAATATTCCAACAATCAAAAATAATGGGCACATTTTTATAGCAGATTGCTTGTCATGGTGGAAATAAGTCATTTTAGAGGCGGATGTGTCTTGTGCATTTTGATAGCCCCCCCATCCCACACACTTGACGTTTGACATTTAGAATACATTTTCATGAACTTTTAATGTTTCGCCCTGTCGCTGTGCGGCCGCAAAAATAGAATACATACATTTATACCATTTGAAAAATTACATCACTGTTTAAAAAAAAATCGCATAAAACGTTTTGACCAATTCTTCATGGTATTTCTGCATCGAGCAGTTTCCGTTAAAAAAAAAATACATTGGTTGCACATTGAACATTTAAATACCGGGTATTGATTTTGGTAATTTGGCAAATACTTTTCCAAGGACGTTTACTTGTGTGTCTGCGTGTGACACATCCACTCTCTTGTTTGAAACATGCTGATTAGAGTCGAAGTTGCATTGTTCTCCTGCCATTTCAGAGGTAGAGCATTTGACTTTTCTTTCCCTTTTTTGCAGATAAGCCTACGTGTGTTACGACTTACAAATCAACCAAATCCGAGTTACGTCACCGAGAACGGAACCCCGTCGTAAACCGAGGACACTCTGACGTCATTATTTTGGGCACGGTGGAGCATCGGTGAAAAGAGTAAGTGCGCCTCTAGCGGCACCTGGCAGATTGGCAGCCTGCTGCATTGCAAAGGAGGAGAGGAGGGAAAAGGAGGCGATCTAACAAACACGAGCGAACATTCCTTCGGGCCCTCCTCTCCGCGCAGCCAGCCAACTTATCAAGTCCTCCTGGAAGCTTGCAGGATCACTTTGCGGATAGAAAAACAACATGGCAGACGTCGTGTTCCAAACCGAGGGAGGAAGTGGCGGGATTGTGGTAGGAAAAGCATGAAACCATGCAAAGAGTTTGATTATACTATACGCCGTAAAGTTTGCAACATGTCGCCTTGCAAACTTTTTTTACGGCTCCCCAGAGCTACTTTGCACGTTTTGACGAGTTGCACAACTTCAAAGGGCGAACACGCGTATGAATTGTTTTGTTTTCTTTCCTTTTCATCATCCACTTCATAGATTGACGATGACTGGCCGGGTTACAGTTTAGAACTCTTCAGCTATCCAACACACTACGCCGGGGATCTGCAATGTGTCGTCGTTCCGCATGGAGTCATCATGGACAGGTACAAGTTAAAGCTACTTTTGTTTTAACCTTTTGTCACATTTAAGAAAAGAAAACATCAAAGTGCACATCACGAAAAGTGGTCAGTATAAACCTGAATGCTGAGCGTTTTCTATTTTTGTTATGAATGAATTAATGCTGCATGTCTAAGTGTCCAATTCCTGTGTAATGCCTTTTACGATCTTTGACTATTTCCAATCATGTAAAAAACTTTTTTTTCTGGCTAAAATAGTATAAAACTTATTTTTTCAATTACTGATGTTAATGCCACAATGTTAGTACACTCAACAAAACAAGCACGTTGTTTTTATTTAAACTTCAAGTTGGTGTTCCACAAAAGGGATGACCATTCAGTCAACTTTTTTTTCCCTTTGAAATGTAAGAAAACCGATTTTCACAACTGTAAGACTTAAAACGTTGAATTGAATTACCAACCTGTAATGCTATGAAAGTTTTATTAACTTGAAATTTTGAGTTCTCACAACCTTTTTTTTTTTTCGTGCAAGTCCTCTCCATCTTCAAGTGACACATTCAGTATGGCTGAGTTTAAATCAATCCAACACATGTAACAACCCCCAAGTTGCAAGTAAATAACACCACAACTCTCAACAGCAGCAGCGACAACACGGAAGTAAAGCAAATGGCATGCGCTAATACATAAATAATACATTAAATGACATAAAATTTGTTTGGCCTTGGTTGACTACAACCGCTCCCTTTGATTTAAATGTAGGTAACCTCAGTATGCTATGTGCAGCAGTTGTAATTATTTTGCGCCTTTCTTGATGGAGCTACCCGGAATAAAGATTGTCGTCTTCTTTTTAATCATTCTTGAGCTGTAGTTTAAGAATAATATACAGTGGTACTTCTACTTATAAACATCCCGAATTGTAACACAGGGGTGTCAAACTCTTTTTTTGTCGCGGCCCACGTTGTAGTTACAGTTTCCCTTGGAGGGCTGTTATGAATTTTGGGAAACCATATAAATGTTTCATCCCCTCCACATATTACATATACAGCGCACAACAAATTGATGAATCACTAGTTTTAAAATCAGAAGTCAAGAATAATGACTGTTATTGTGGATTACATATGACAATTTGAAATTTTGGTTAAGACTTTAGCAAGCATCATGGAACTTGACATGCTTTATTTGCTTTCGCGGGCCACATAAAATGATGTGGTGGGCCAGATCTGGCCCCTGGGCCTTGACTTTGACACCTGTGTTGTAACATGTACTCGTTACATATTTTAATGCAGTTTTATGCTTTAGAAAACATTGATGTCTGAATTTTGAGGTGGTGGGGGGGGGGGGCTTGGAACGGAATCGGGCATTTACATGGAAAATGCATCTCTATGTACAAAATTTTCTAGTTAAGAAATTTCTTCCAGAACCAATTAATTTCGTAAGTAGAGGTACCACTGTACAGAGAGTGTTTGTATTGTTTGAGTAGACATGGGTGTTTATACGCCACCACTCAGTGTATTGATGTCATCAAGGCGACATTGACGGGGCATAATCTAATCCGAGTCTTTACGCTGCACACATATTGACAGATACCTAATTCGAATCATTTTAATCTAAATTTGGAAGAGGTCTGATTTCAATCTAAAGATATCTACATCATGTTAAAGAGTAACCCAAATGTCATTGATTCCTCAGGTTGAGCTAGTACACTCTAAATTTGCTGTAAACCACCGGCAAATTGCTGGAAATTTCCAGCAGAGGCCCAGTGGGAAACTTTGGTCGCTTTCCACCATGTTATCTTTGCAATCAAATCATTTTTGATCCAACTCTGAACTTTTGTACTCGATCTCCGCAGGTGTACGTAATGTCGAGTGTATATTCCTCACAGTGGCAGATGAGAGGCTGTTTACGATAACACTTCAAAGTTCGTATTTTGTGCATTGTGAGAAAGTCAAAATGTTCAGTGAACCTTCGAGACTTTTGACGGCGCAGTATCACGCGGACAGCTGCATTCAGCAGCAGTCTTCCGTCTGCAATTCCGGTTCGACAGAGTCAAATCGATTAAACCAGTCAAAAAAAGAAAATAATCCAGTATTTCATACTTTTAACTTCATATCCATGCTTCCTTTAAAACATTTTGTGGCTCAAAAGACTTCAGTAAGTGCCAGGCTAGCCTTGAGGGCACTTCCACAGAACATAATTTTGGTAGTTACTAAGATACACACATCCCAAATGAAATGCGACTTTTTAACTATACAAATAGTCACTGTAGGTCTTTGGAGTGCCAATCAACTTTGAAATTAAATTTAGCCGGTGGTAATGATCCCTTCTGCAGTCTGGATGCGAAAAGGGTGAACATTTCCAGCTCTGTAGAGTCTCGCACGTCTCCAGAGGTCTCCAATAATGCCAAAATTAATACATATCTGCAGTATAATACAATTTTTGCTAGTTGTGGCTTTTTAAAAACAATCGTGACTAGAGTGTGTAAAGTTGCTTAACTTTAAATAGCAGCTGGCTTCACTACGGCATGGGATTGAAACCCATATTTTTGGAACAGGATTGTAAGATAGCTTTTATTATGACACCTTGGAAGTTGGAACTCTTCTAAATTGTCAAAATAAACTCATAGTACGTCTCCTTTTAATAGTATGAAAATTCAGCATCTCAAAAAGATGAACATAATAATAAACTACTGGCGGATTTTTGTTTTTATTTCGCCTTTCCTTGTGGACTTCCTTGCTTGTTCTCCAGCTTGATCCTGTAGTGAGAAAACGCGATGCATTTCCTCAAATGGTATAATGGCCACCGCTTTAGTAAATGCCAAAGTATCTTCTGGCTACTTGTGCCAAGCCCCTGAATATTACTTTCCATTCAAAGCAAGTGTGAAACCATGTTGTAAGTGAAAGCATCTGTTGGATTTTCACTCATGAAGGCAGTACTTCATCACCATGCCACTTGGCTAATGCCGCCATGACATCACCAAACAGCAGTACAGGAGAAATAGAAGTCAGCCAGGCCAAAATAAAGAGTGAGCTTGCTTTAAGAACATTTTTTTGACAATTGACAGCTCATAAAAAATGTCCTTAGTTGTTTAATTTTATCCTTAATGGGTGAGCAGGAAATCCAGTGACCCCAACTCATTATATACAAGCAGATAGGGAATCAGCATTCCTTTAGGAGTTAATTTATTCCATGCAGGATGAATACAGACCATTAATGTTCCCCTGCTTGGATAGGACAACATGGATGAACGCTTTCATTCGGTGTGAAATTATTTGTGCCAGACTGCCAACCGAGCAAACACTTTATGCTTCCCAGAACGGAACGTCTCGCTCGCAACATCATGGATGATTTGGGGGACCATGACATTGTGGTACTATGCGTGCTAAAAGGGGGCTACCAGTTCTGCGCCGACCTGGTGGACAAGATCAAGGCGCTAAGCTGCAACTCGGACCGCACCATCCCCATGAGAGTCCACTTCATCCGCCTCAAGAGCTACCTGGTGAGCATCAAGAAAACCCCCTCGAATGTACTTCGGTCTCAAATCATTTTAGCATCAGTGCTTGTCTCATAACGACGATCTTTCTTTCATACCGTGCAGAATACTGTGACGGCAGTGTCTTTACATAACAAGTGATTGACTGTTGTTAAATGTTGAAATGAGCGATGAAAAGTAAAGATGATATCTCCTGGCTTTTCCTCAGAACGATCAGTCCACAGAAGATCTTCACATTCTTGGAGCAGAGGACTTATCATTTTTAGCTGGAAAGGTAAATTATTATTTTGAATTGTTATTCGTGTGAATTTTTTTTCACCCCACTTAAAGTGACCAGCTAATTTATGACCTGCTGATTTAATCGACTGACATCAGCTATTTTGAAATTAGCAAAAATCTGTCGATTTTTTTTTCTTCACATTTTTACCAAAGATAAGGCCATTAAAACATTCCTCATTCATTTCTTTTTTAATTTTTAAAAATGTATTTATTTATTTATTTATTTGTAATTGTTGCCTCTTTTTCTACATATTCTACCAGGGGCTGACATTCAAATATAAAATCGGCTGATTTTGGCCGATTTTCCTCAGTTGTGAAGTCAAACAAATACTCACAGACAAAAAGTTAAAAAAAAAAAAACAGTCACGTGTTCCACTTGTAACATTTTTTTATCGTTGTGAGCGGGGACCCCTCCAAAAAAAAAAGTGAACCTTAGGCACCCAAAAAGTAATGTTTAATACATGAACTGAAAATAAAAATATTGTTTTTATATTAGTTTATCTATAAATTATATTAAATTATATATTTTATATTATTATATTGAATTATGTATTTTATATTAGTTTATTTATTAAACAAATATATTAGTTTTTTTTTTTAATGAATCGGTCGATTTACCGGTAACCGGTTATTGTGATTTTATCTTTCCTGAATCTGCATCTTCCTTAAAAAAAAAAAAAAATCCATATTGATCGGCCCCAAATGATTACTGCCTGCTGTTAATGCAAGATGACCACTGCAACACACATACACACGCACACACACACACACACACACACACACACACACACACACACACATTTCTCCACCAAAAGTCACAACTCTCCTCACCCAAACCAGAGTTAGACAAAGAAGAATAGAACTAGAAGAAGCTTACTGTTATCTTATCTGGTAGCTTCTGTGTTTTCAAATTCTTCTCGGCAATTTTATTGTGGTGAATTGCTTGGGAGGCACGTCGTAAAAACAAGCCACACTACAGGATAATTGCTCTGGATAATCATACAGACATGCAAGAATCTGATCTTAAATAACTTTGATTGGAAGGGAGGAAAAATGCCCATAATGTCCCAGTTGTCCAAAACAGTTAAATTTCACAGAAGTGTTGTTTGGATAAAAGTATCCAAACACATATATTAACAACCCATTAATGAATATGAATTTTGATTTATTTCTCCTTATCTTTTCAATTGTTCCCTGCTTTCAAAAACAAAAATGGGGACCATTGTGTTATTCCAACTTTGTGGACACAGGCCCTTATCTCTTGCCACTGTGGTGTGGAATTCGTACATTACAAATGACAAATCGTAACAGTCACTTGAGAAATGCAAACAAATGTTCAGTTCTCGGTGCACAAGCATATCCTGTGTTGACATCTGTTTGCCTTAAGAGGGCAGCATTTCCTCTCTGTAACGTGTCTCCCCTGGAGAAACGTTCACTGCTTCTGTAAACAGGATAAAGCATTTTTTTTAATTGACAAAACGCAAGGCACAGATAGAGACAGCAACCATTCCCATTTACACTGTTGCTGAGTGGGAAGTTGAGTCACTACGTCATCAGTGACACTTGAGAGACATCAGAAATGTGTGAGACGGGTTAGTGAAATTAATTTAAAATAAATGGAAAGTTAGTTTTAAAAGTTCTGGGTTCAAACCTTGCCTTTTATTTGCAGGTCCTCAAACTTCCTCCCACATTACAAAACCATACATAAAAGACTGAGAAATGTCCATAAATGAGAATATATAATCATATAGTTATTATCTATTAAAAAGGATAAGCTAACACGGATTCAAATGAAAGCAATACCCAATTAATTTGACTATAAAGGTTAATATCAAATAAATCAAGGGGGGGGGGGGAGTGACATTTGCGTTTGACTTGGTATTCATGAAACTCCATTTGACACTTGCTGGTGCCTCTCCCAGCTGACTCCCGTCTGAGTCGGAGTCAATCACAGGGAACATATAAACAAAGTCAAGTTCACACCAACTCATGTTGAGCAAGTTAGCCTTGCGAGGAAGCTAGCAAAAACTGCGGATATAACAGAGGTTATGTTGAATGTGTACACCCATTTGTCAACAGGATTATGCAAAGCAAAAAAAAAGGAAGAGGTGGAGCGATGTCAAGGAAAAACTATTACATGTAGGGCGTTTCCGTGTTGACTAATGTTTTAATTTTAGCCTGAGGTGAGGCGTCAACTCTTGAGAATTTTCATGTTCGTGTGAGTCATGTCAATAAGCCAGAAAAACGATATTTCCATCATGAGACATGTAAGAACATAGCACTGAGCTGTGCTGGACAATTATTTGCTTCGCCTTTTTTATGTGTGTGTGTGTGTGTGTGTGTGTGTGTGTGTGTGTGTGTGTGTGTGTGTGTGTGCGCGCGCGCATTGAACAACGATGAAAAGACAGTATTCCTCGGTGATAAACACAATCTGATCTGAACACGCACGCACGCACGCACACACACACAAACACACACTCACACACACACACACACACACACACGCACACACAGTTACACACACAGCCTATATCGGCAGAAGGGCAAGGCGTGGCCTACATAACCAGAACATGAATTGGTGATGAGGTTGCAGGCCTTGAGTCACGTCGGCCGCCTTCCTCACTTGACATGTTTGTATTTTGAGGGTGCTTGTGAAAGAAATCCCCCATGCTCCTTTTGTGACATGCACACTTAAAGTTACGAAATGCAACAGCGTTGTCCTGGAAGAATTGAGCCAAACAGTGTGGGAAGAGGCATGACGTAGTGTTGCCTCCGAATGTGGAATTGAGTAATATTTCTCCACACAGAACTGTCCAACACACACTCATTTCATTGAAATGAACACGTATCCTCCCATGAATCCTTTGTTGAAAAACTAGCGTGAAATTAATACAATTGGCATTTATTAGCACTTATATTGTCCAACTATGTAAAAGTGTTCGTTGGGCACTCCTCCACATATAAATAGTAGCCTGTTGTCTCCTGTTGATTAGACAGACGTTTGTAGAATTTCAGCTATTTCAGTGGGGACATACTTAAACTGGGCTAAAGACTGATAGCGGCCGCATTGTGGTGTGTGTGTGTGTGTGCGTGTGTGTGTGTGTGTGTGTGTGTGTGTGTGTGTGTGTGTGTGTGTGTGTGTGTGTGTGTGCGTGAACTCGATTTTAGTATTGAACCGATACCAAGGAAATACAAGGACAGTATTGCTTATCCCTTTTAATAATTAAAGGGGTTCCATTTTGGAAAATGTACTTTTTGTTTGTAATGCACAGTGGTACCTCTACTTAGGAACGTCTCTTCATACGAAATTTTCAAGTTATGAAACGTCTCAACAGGAAAATATTGCCTCTTGTTACGAAAGAAATTTCAAGATACGAAAGATAAAAATGCGGTACGGGTTGCAACTCGAATGTCTGAGTTTCCTTAACACAACATACTTACAGCTGCTCTGCCATTGGCTATTACCGAGCATCTTCCTGGCATCCCATTGGCTAAGAGGAACCTCCGTACGTGTCTTTGTATGTAGATAGATAAATAGATTGAGATTTGTCGATGCAGCGTCCTCGTCATTCGTTCCGCTAGTTTTACGTGAATGCGAATCACCCAGAAAAAGTATTCACCATTCCGGCGATCGTTCACTATTCCGGTGTTTGCCTTGAATATTTTCGAAGGATTGTTCAAAGCCTACAAAAGCAAACGTCCTTGGATCAGTTCTTTACAAAACACCAGCCAAAAACCACTTGTGAGAGAGAACTAAAAAGGGCAAAAAAACGATGAGGATGCAGTTAAAAGTTAAATGACCATCATTTTCATTCTTTATTCTTTGTTTGTTACATTATACACAACTCTCATTTATCGTGCAATAATCTAATTGTAACATGTATTTGTTCCATATTTTGATGCATTTCTATGCTTTAGGAAACATTTATGTTTGAATTTTGGGGGGGGCTTGGAACGGATTAGGGAATTTACATGGACAACGCGTCTCTACTTACTAGTTTTCTAGTTAAGAAATTTCTTGCAGAACCAATTAATTTCGTAAGTAGAGCAACCACTGTATATAAATAGCCGTCTTTCAGGAGCGCCTGCCGACTCATCAATTGTGACATTAAAACAACCGAGTACATTTTTTGTGATCTCCGAATTTGATGAAAATGGGTCAAGTGAGTGAGCCGTTCGGTGGTGGCTTTTTTTTTCAGCCCTAGATGAAGTCTCAGCGTCCAGAAGTCTCCAGTAATGCCATAAAAAGTCACTAAGTTGGTTGATCATCACTTCCCCCCCTCCTGCTAAATAAAGCGTCAGAGTCGCTAGGTTGGCAACACTGAGTCATCACTAGATTGACCGCAAGGGCTTTGAGCTCTGTCCCTGTCGTCACAGTAATAATGAAGGACCTACTTTGTACTGCATTTCCATGAGACAGAGTCCCCCCCCCACCTCCCAGGGAAAAAAAAAGAGTGAGATTAGAGCCGAGAATGTTCAGAGTGCTGCTTTTCTTCATCCTTTGTGTCGTTTGAGGGAATAATGCTTGACACGATGATTATAGTTTGGGATTTTTAAATCTAATATTGTATTTCGTTTTGACATTTGTTTTTTAAATTGTCTTAGTTGTAATGAATTTTTAGAGTAGTTTTTTTTTCGAAAAAGGCTTTATTTTAGTTTAACTTTCATTATATTTATTATTAGTTTTTTTTCAATGTGTTGAGTGCAAGATAAAAAAAATCAGTCACTAAGTATTGTCCAAACAACAATTCTGAAAAGACTGTTTGACTTTCCTTCTTCTATAAACAGCAATACCCCAAAAAAAGTGCATTTAAAGTGGAGCCCCAAAAGCTCCTGAATATTATTTGACAAAGACGAAAGGACGTGTTCGCGATAATTTACATTTAGTTTTATAAACGCAAGATCGCGTTTCAGTTCCATTTTGTTCTTCCAAATAATCCCCTTGGTTCAAACACATTTTTGCCACTATTTCATGAAACCGTTGCGGTGCATAAAGGAAAGAAAACGAAAGTTAAAAGAATCTGAGTCACCTTGGTTGTGATGGTTTTCAGCTTGTCCCATCAGGTTTTAACACAGCGAGTACTTGCTTGATTTCTTTGGAAACGTTTTGTATGTCGGGTGCCCTTCCTGATACAATCCGGGGTTTCGGTTGTGGTTACGTATTGCATCACTGGGCGGGAATCAAATGCACACTGGCAGCATGTACCGTTACACCACTAGTACAATCTCAGGACGCGGGTATCAACTCAGATTGATTTGTGTCAAATCAATCGAGATGGCTTTTATGAATGAATATACTTTTATGGTAGGCTCATGTTTAGCATGTTTGCCTTTCCGGTTGGCATCTCCTGGGTTCAAATGTCAGGTCCAGGCCTGATGTCTGGCATTTGCACGCGTGGCTTTTCTTTGGGTACTTTGGCTCCTCCCCACATTGTGAAAAACATGCGCTTTGGTGACCAGCCCGGGGTTGACCTTGCCACTCTGGGATAGGCTCCAGCTCATCCATGACCCCTAATAAAGACCTGCGTAAAAAAAAAAAAAAAAAAAGGGATTTAGCTTGTATGCAACAATTGCTGTTTGAAAGTGCTCTACAAATACAGTTGAGTTGAGAGTTGTAGACCAATGACAAATAAGCACATTGCAGGATAACTCACTGTTTGACTTTTTTTTCCCCCCATCAGGATTTCCATGGTTGGATAGCTGACCTGCCAGTTTGTAAAATGTTTCTAATTGCTTTCTTTGCCTTTGTGGTCTTCCCCTTCACTGACCTGCCCTCACAAGAACGTACTGATTGTGGAGGTGAGTCAGCCGTGTTTTTCATCCCCCCCATATGTCCTAACGAAGATGGCATACCAGGTCAAGGGGAGTCAGCTAAAGTTTTCCTTTTGAAATGTTTGGAGCAGCAGTACGCATGGAGAAAACTACTCTGCCCACGGTCATCAGCGAGACATTTTCCAACATGTGCCCACGGATGTTCATCCATATACAGTATAAGAGTTCTGTTTTGCATGATATTCTGTGTTGTGTGTCTTTGAATATAGGAACAATTACCTGACATCCACATCCTTTTAAATCAATCATGAAACTACTTTGGGGATCGGATTTCACAAAAAAATTCTCAAATGAACAGGATAGGGATTTATTATTTTCATTTTGAGCGTAGAAGGCAGTTTTGGTGCAGATTATTATTAGCATTTTTCATTTTGCTTTGACGAAAATTGCATAGGCTTTACTTTCAGTGGCTTTATTGTGATTATGTGACGTAATTTCGGCATTAGCGTGATTAGGGCCAAGTGCTCGGTTCCCATTGAACGCTTTCAAGTTTCCAATTCCCATGTACATTCAAGTGCACATATGCAATTGCAGGACAAGAAATCGGGTTCGTTTGGGTTCATTCAGTAAAAGCCAGATTTATTTTGAGAGGTTCCTCCTAAAAGGTTACGTAAGAGTGACCCAGTTGTTGAACTCCTCCCACTTGTTACAGTGTGAAATTAATCAGTTCTTTGTCTGGAAATTCCACGTCGGTAATCTTGTTCTTTCTCAGTCCTGTTTTCCTGTCTTGCTTGCACGACTCAGGGCATTATTGGCACCGGCAAGACCCTGACGGCTCTCCTGAAGCACGTCAAAGCCTTCCAGCCCAAAATGATCAAAGTTGCCGGGTGAGTTATGACTGTGTGGAGCAACAAAACAAAAGCAGCCTGGTTGTCTCGCTTTGTGAATCACTCAATATCCGCCTTCCCAGTCTAGACAGCAGACAAGAGTCAGTAAGTGACACAGGTGGTACTGTTTAAAAATTCATCAGGTCTGGTCACATATGCAAGTGCATAAATAATTTCCAATAATAGCCGTGTCTTTTCTTCAGATTGCTGGTGAAGAGGGTGCCTCGCAGGACTGCAAGCCTCCCCGACTGTACGCATCTGACCCTACCCTCTTTTATATGTTAATGAGTCAATGGTTCATTCATATTTAAAACATGCGCCGAACCTTTTTACGTATGACTCAATGAATGGGGAAAATGCTCAATGGGGCTGTATGTTCCGCTTTCATTTCAGATGTCGGCTTTGAGATCCCCGATCGCTTCGTGGTTGGATACGCTTTGGACTACAATGAGTATTTTAGAGACCTCAATGTAAGTGAGCGGCTTTTATTATTCGGGCCCGAGCACCAGGCTGTGTATTGGAATCGCTGTGTTTATTAAAAAAGGCCTTTGGTGGGGGCTTCAGAATGCCCGAAAATTCATCAGTTTTTGCAGTTGTGCCTATTTCGGAGTAAATGTGAATGGATTTTAAGGGTCAGGAACATGCCACCTCCGGATACACATTCTCCCAAAACTCACTGAGTTGCGCCACTGGAAAGCTAAATTTGCCCTCGACACTGGTTTCATCCATCCATCCGTCGCGGGGGGTGCTGGAGCCTGTCCCAGCTGTCTTCGGGCAGTAGGTGGGGGACACCCTGAACCGGTTGCCAGCCAATCACAGGGCACACAGACACGAACAACCATCCGCACTCATACCTCGGGACAATTTAGAGTGTTCAATCAGCCTGCCATGCATGTTTTTTGGAATGTGGGAGGAAATTGGAGTACCCGGAGAAAACCCACACAGGCACGGGGAGAACATGCAAACTCCACACAGGGAGACCGGAGCCAGAATAGAAACCTGCACCTCTGCACTGTGAGGTCAACGCGCGAACCACTGGACAACCTTACTCATTGTATTTTAGCAACCGCCCCACCCCCGAAAAAAAAACAACAAAAAACAACATATCATAGTCCAACATAGGAAAAATCCACCTTTGTTGACCTCTTTCTTTTTTTTTTCCTTTCCTACAGCATATCTGTGTGATCAGTGACAGTGGAAAGATGAAATACAAGATATGAGGAAAGGAAGCCACATGCTCTCAGATGTCATCTCAACTTTAGAACCCATTCCAGCTGCTCTGGAGAAATACGTTTTCCTCCGACATTGCTGTCCCACATTCCCTCTGTGAAACGACCAGCGGGCAAAGACATTGCCTTTCAACTCATCGTTTCGTGCACTTAGTGGAACACGGGGTTTACAAACAAATTTCTGAGAGGAAATGATGTCGTTTTTTAAAGACGTAAGTAACTTTACAGGAATAATGACCATTCTTAACTTTGTGTAAAAAGAAGCCGGAATACTGCAAATAATGTTAAGGGCAAACGTCTGCAAACTGAGTCAGTACGCATATTGTCACAAGTATTGAAAGATGTTGATGACTAAAGAGTCAAGACAACAAAACGATTTGTTGGGGTAAGTATTACAAAAGAAGAGCCTAAAAAAAAACTAAATACTGAACTGAAGTATGCTGAATGGCAATATGGCACCAATGATGATCGCTAACGTTTTGCTGAAATTCAGAATCATGAAACTTGCAACTGAAATGCTGCAGCTATGCTTGTGCTTACCTCGGTCGACTTCATTTGTAACGCGCAGGTATGCGACGTAAGGGACTTGTTCCAACCGCACTGAACTCGATAGTTGCTAACAAAGGAAATTAGCCTACCTAAATGTGAACGTCAATCACATTTTTTAAGCAGGAAGTGTAGCATTTTCTAACAAAATAGTGACTCATCTCATTATTAGCATGGAAAGTTCCTTTTCTGTCATTTTTTACAATTCTTGGGATGAGAGTGTAGCTTTGGAGACATTTTTTTGTATTAATTTTGCATTTTTTCAATATTTGATCAACTTACCTGGTGAACCTGTGTGTTGTATATCAAAACTGGAGCGTTGCCGGTTAGTGTTTATCAATGAATTATCTGCGTATTAAAAGTGTGGATTGCTTTAAGTTTATGTCTCGATGTGTCTTGATTGATTAACAATAGGTCACGACTAATATATCACAAAACAACTGTCAGTTACCACGTTTAAAATCCCATCCCCCCCCCATATCCAAACAAGTTTGACCCTCTTATAAAGCTACACGGATGACAATGCCGGAATAGAATGTAGAAGATGCCCACAAATGATCCCAAAAGGCACAAAAGACTTGCTTGTATTGAATGGTTGCGCTCTTTGTGTACACCTGACATATGACTCCCAGTCTTTAAGCTGGGAACACCGAGTGCTATTTAAACAAAACAGTTTTTCACTCTGCTGTGGGAATAATGCCGGAATCACAGCCTGACCTTTCTAACCAGCAAAGTAAAATTCCCTGGTGAAACAATTTAACCCAATAGAACATTAATGCAATAAATATGTTGGTTAAAGTGGAAAAAAATATATATTTTTTCCCCAAGATTTAAAAAATTAAAATTGACACGGGGGTATGCACAGCAAAATTATTGGACTGTTTTGTACTTGTTTTTGCTTCCGAAAATTGATATCCGTGAAGAAAGTAAGCCATAATTGATGAATTATTGGCCATATCTATAAGCTGTAATGTAGTACAAAACTATACAAACTGTACAATCAAATGGAGGGAGCTGGGTTTACAACATTTCGAGGTCGTGGGAGAGAATATGTGTAACAATATGAGGTCATGTACTTTCAATTACAGTCATACTTACTCTTTCATTTGATTGTTTTACATTCATTTCCTAGAAGCGGTTTTCACACAAATTGGCTTTGTAATTATGACATTTTGAGAATATGTGCAACAAAAGAAGGGATTCTCAGTTCCCGCCTTGGGCCTCCTTGTTTTTCTTTGGATTTGTTCAAATCTTGCCCGAAGTTTTCTTCCATACAAATATTTCAGGGCACATGGAGAAACAAACAAGCATTCTCATCCACATCCACACAGTCATCGAGTGGGAACTGATTCCATGCTGCCCTTACACAGTGTACCACTACACTATCAGTGACATAGGCACAGTGTGCCACTATACCATCAGTTAAACATATATATATATATATATATATGTAACAAACTGGCAACATTTCAGACTGATAAGTTTGACGAGAGGTATTGGGGAGGCCACTGTGAATTTCTAATCTCTTTGGCAACACAATGAAGGCAGAGTGCCATCCCAGTGTAAAACATTCAGGTTTCAGTAAATATTTGCACATAGAAAACTGATCCATGATTCCATGTTGATGAGAGCATTAAAATGGGAAAAAATTGGACAAAAAATATCAAAGGAAATTTAGAAACGCTAAAAAATGTGTGGGTAATCACGATTAATTATGACAGTTGCGTTTTTAATCAGATTAAATATTTTAATCGTTTGACAGCTCTAATATATATATAATAATAATTTTTTTTATAGGAACAAATGGACAGTTGTATGTGCACAAGTAGACACTGATATGAGAGCTTTGTGAAAGTATCCAGGCCCGAACCGACCTCTGCCGCAACAAAAGCCAAACACAGCCAAAAGAAACAGGTGGCCCCTTCTGTTCCATGCGCATAAAGGGGACATTTGTCGGGAGAGGGGAGTGGATTGGAGCACACCAACCCGCTCAGATTCAGCCAGCTTCGTGTGGAGCACTTAAATCGCCAGCAGACTATTAGACGAACGGTCTGAATCCACATTCCTCATGCACTACCATCCACATGCCAGCCAGAATCGACCTCCCTTTGAACTACAACACGTGACTCCGAGTACAGGCTTCTTCTTGAAATGTAACAACATTGCGAGGAAGGGAATGATTCATGAGACCGATACACGCTTTTGTTATCGTAGGACAAACCATTTCAATCCACCTCTGGTTGTGTTAATTAAACTTCTGTGGAAGGTTGTACTCAGCCGTCTGGCAGCGCTGTGGCTGCATTGTGAAATGTCCAACATGATTGGTCGGATCGAAAGCAAGGCCTCCTGTGATTGGCTGATTGTGTCCTGTTGACCGAAGGTGGACTCCCAGGGAGTTGGGAACGCTCGAAGCAAGCGGGGGAAAAATCCAACCACAGAAACTACACCATGCGCCTCCCCCGTGAGGAACTCCGTTTTTACTGAAAATAATCGTCATTATGTCAACGTCTACCAACACCGGAGCCCGTTTGTTATGGTTGTATTGGGCTTCCTCGCCTCTAACGACTATCACCGCCGTCTGGATCGACGCCCCGTAACTACTCAGGTAACTTTGTTTCAACTCTAGCCGTTAGCATGGCTGCTAACCAACCAGCAGCCGCTCGCCACAGTTCGGTTTCATTGTCACCTTTTACAACTTTAATCCACTGCGTGAGCCAAGATGAATTTCAGGTACTTTGAGGGATAAATACTGCGCGTATTGTCGTGTAAATAAGTTAACAAAAGGTTGGTTTCATCAGAGTAGTTCGCGTGAGAACAACCCGAAACGCTCCGTGCGTCGAAATCGAACAATAGCCATCTTTTTCAAATCGCAAAACCAGATGCGATTTTTATGGCGACGCGGCGCTTAATATCATAGGTACATGAACCCATACGTGCTAATGAATAACCTCTGTTTTTAAGCCTTTTTTAAAAAACACATTTCTGCCATGGCACACTTGTTGCTGGTTATTGATGATGGTCCACTTTGCTGCGCTTCATCGGACCCATGACAACAAACCCGGGCCGTTGGTTAAAGTGATCTGTTGGTCACCTTACAAACCTCGACCAATCGCCAAACTCTAACCCAGCCAGCCGAAGTAGCATTTGGCTCACGTTTGATCAAGAAGCACTGCCTCGTTGTGATCACTTTCCCCAGCATCACCTCTCTTATTTAAAGCTACACAAGGTGTACGGTCGTTGAAAGCAGTTGCTCATGCCGGCAGAGCATTGTTAACCATAGTGTGAACACTTGTGATGAGTTGTTTTTTTTTCCTTTTCACAATACACGAACATAAACCAAGTCTTTTTGTCCTCTCTCCTCCAGATGGATTAGTTAATCCAGCAAGGACAAAAGCATAAATTGGAAGGCGTGGAACACAGATTCTCGCTTTCCACCTGAAGGTACCTTTGTCAATGTGGATGTTCACTGGCTTGGATGATTTAAAGTCAAGGTGAATGATGGCGTCGCGTTGGGCTCATTCTTGCGAAGATAATCTTGAGCGACAACAGGCAAGATCATCATTCTGTGAGGTACGCAACAGTCTATCAGTAATGTTTTTAGATTGAGAGCATGAATGTTTTTGTTTTTTTGAAGGGGGTGCAGCTGATTCAGGGTTTCTAGAGTCATCCCTCTGTTGAGTCCGGTGTGGGGGGTGGAGTTATGAGGGTTTGGCACTTTGGCCCAGCTGTTTGTGCTTGTAAAAACTCCTTTTAGATTCTGTTCCCCAGTTTCTCCTCTGTTTCTGTTTTCAAGTTTACATCACTTGGGTGTTTTCAAGAACCAACGGTCATGTGCATGAGGGGAAACAAAAAAAAAGGTTGAAGCAGGATCAGGAATAAAGTTAGAACATCTAAGTTAAAAAAAATCTATATAATGAATGTTTAATATATTATAATCATTTGTGGGCAATATATATAGAATGAATGTTTAATGAAAAGGCGACGAAGGTGAATTATTTTGCGCCAAGCAAAAACTTGTGACCCACTGGTTGCTCTTGACAAGGGAATAGTGCTGTTTGTAGATGGGCAGAGTCACACACTCACTCACCAAATATGGAGCTGCATAGACTCATCATTATACATTTAAGCGAGACACACGCTTCTCACTAACAATGTCAAGTACTGCAAATTCATTCTGTATCGTTTACTGCGGAATAAATGCCAAGGTGTCACTGGACTCAGTATCAGCCGATCCTGAAAATCAAGTGACACGACTCGTTGCAAAAAAACCCCAAAATTGAACACTGGCGATCATGCAGACTTTTATAATCACAACAAAGCCAAGACAAATGAATAAATGATCTGCTTATCTTTGTTATGATCAAGGGCCGGCTACATATCCTCTTAACCTCTTGTATGAGTCAAATTGAGGAAGTCTGTCCGATCACAACACGCTTGAGCATGATTGGAGTTGTGATGTGAGTGCAGAGCTTCAATTATGGAAATCCTACTTTTAATGGCGCCACACCACCAAGCAATTGATTTGTTAATGTTGCAAAGGAAACCCCCTGGAGTCCCTGGTCGGCCCTTGGTCGTGTTGGTTATTGTGTCATTTAACAACACTGCTTGATACCGCACCGATGTTCTGCATGGATGTGAAAACATATTGTTGACCATTAGGACACACACTATAAACCTAAATTAAAATTATGCTCTTGAAATTCCTGACCGTATAATGTGTGTTCAAAATGTTGACTGTATACTCTGTGTTGTCCTGTTTGCTTTGGTTTTTTTCAACAGTACATGTATTTCTTAGAAAAAACAAAAAAAGTATTGATTTCATCGGTGTCTTTGTGTTGATCTGTTAGGTTGTTTACTTACACATGTACAGAAGAACTCAATACTCCCTCCCATTCAGCGCATGGTTTTTCTCTCTTTTTTTTTTTTCCTATCACAACTCGGATTCCTCTAGTCAGATATTGAGTGAACCAATCAATCCGCTTTTATCTGTGAAATGGCTGTGGTAATGTTTTCCTGATTACTTGAGGCTCCAGTAGGCCTGCAGTCATGTTGGATGATCGATTCAGATTTGTTGCTGTTTGGGGAGGCTTTGCGGCGTGTGTTTTTTTTTTTTTTTTTTTTTTGCTTTTTTTAAATTAAATGATTCACATCACCTCCACATTGGCTTGCTATGCCCCCAGCAGAGAAGCGAGAGAAATGAGAGCAGAGTGAAACGCTAATTGTTTTGGATAATGAAGCGTGATCCATATTTAGCACAGCAGGGGGCTCTGGACAAACCAACCCACCCAGCTCCTCATCCCATCTCATTAAAGGTCAGTGTTTATCTCATTTGGACCTTTCGCAGAAGCCTCTGCACAGGCATCGCATGGCTGAGTGA